TGCTCTGCGTGCATACACAACTGTATGTTCCAGGCTGGGGAGGGAGTCAAGGAGGGGGAAAGGAGAGATCACACTTTGCGGTGGTGTCCTCTGGGTGGGCCTTATTGGGAAACTCACAGGTGCGTCCTTCTAAGGCCTAGAAACAGCCAAAAGGCTCTGAGTCAGGAGCACGTTTGGGAACTTAGGAGTGATGGTTGGGCTGGAGCATAAATGAGGAGGAGGTGAGAGGATAAAGTCAGAGATTTGGTGACCTAATCATGGATGTCCTGTAAGCCACCCACAGGCTTTTCATTTTACTCTGATTAAAGCGTGGGAAAACTACAATGCCCATTTTATGGATTCCATATAGTAAACGCAGAGGCTGGCCTCCTTGCAGTTTCGCAGGGATCCATGTGCCGGCTGTGTTGTAGAGAGGAAATGACAGAGCAGCATGGCCCAGAGAGGGGAGACTGGTGGCAAGGTTGTTAAAGTAGCCCACACGAGATGATGGTGGCCTGGACCAGGACAAAATGGTCAAGTTGCCGATAACAGGATCTTATCACACATGGGATGTAGGTTCAGCAAAGTTCATTGTACTTTAGGACAGACGAAGCAAGAAAGAACAAAAAGCCAGAAAGTGAAGTTCATACTGCCCCAGGAGAAGCACGTTGCACTTGGTGTTCTATGTCTTTGGGGTAATGCTTTTGGTGCAGCCTGTCCTGTCATGGAACCTGTTGTCAGATGCGTGCCATTACATGAGGGGTAGTTTTAGCTGAGTTGAAGAGAGCTGTGCTCAGTTGTGGGTATAGTTCTGGATCGCAAATGCGTGGCCTCAGGTGACAGGCAGAAGGCAATAAGACAGAGTGACCAGTCACCACAATGTGCGGCTGCCCCGTGGCTTTCACCTCCCGAAGCACACAGGGAAACCATGGGACATAGTTGTGGTCTTCTGCTTTCCACAGGTGTAAGAAGGAATGAATGGGTCTGTTTGGGACTTGGTTTTTTATAAGTGATGTCTGGTCACTGACCCCTAACATTTCAAAGGAAGGTGTGTGATTATTTACTTAGTTCTGAGGCCAAGTCGTCAGAGGCTCAAGTCTCAGCCGGTATTTCAGCCCGTGGCAATGTCGGTGGACTTGTGCGGCCCCCACCTTGTTCTCTTTCCCACCCTCCTCCCTGCTCTGAGCCCGTGAAGCTGGGAGGAGAGCTCTGTGGGAGCCACGGCTGTACTTCGCAGCTGTGTCTGCATTTGGTGTCTTGGTGCAGAAAAGTGCTCTGTTGTGCTCTGGTTCCGCTTGGATTCGGCTTCTGATGCGTACACAGTGTAGCAGTGAAGGGGGAGAGGAAGGCAGAGTTTGAATGCGGTGGGGGGATGTGTCTTCAGAGCCTGGCTACAGGCAGCTTTGTGTGAAACCCGCTGCCCTTGAGCCAGATTGGAGCCATGAGAGGAAATGGACAGGTTCATTAACATTCTGTGTCCGTGAAAGTACATACACGGTTCGCTTTAGCTGTTGGGACTTTGTCCACAGTTCTAGGAAATGGAAAACAGAGAGGAGAAAATCAAACTATCTATAGCATATGACTTGCACGCTTTTAGTGTTGGGTTTTTTGTTTTGTTTTTTTCAGTGTGGGGTTTTTTGTGGTTTTTTTTTTAAGATTTTATTTGAGAGAGCGCATGAGCATGAGCAGTGGGGAGGGGACAGAGGGAGAAGCAGACACCCTGCTGAGCAGGGAGCCTGATGCAAGGCTCCATTCCAGGACCCTGGGGTCATGACCTTAGCCAAGGGCAGATGCTTAACCAGCTAAGCCACCCAGGCTCCCTAGTGGTTTGTTTCTTGACAAAAATATTATGTGTAATGAAATAATTTTCAATAAAGAAAGAAATGAATAAATTAAAAAGTCTCTCTTACCCTCAATTTCATTTCTAGGAATAATCACCTAATAGTTTGGTGTCTTCTAAGACACCAAATATATAATATGTGTATATGTGAATAAAAAGGTGTTTTTTTTTTCTTAATTGAATTAGGATTGTGTTAGTAAGTATTGCTGCAACTTGCTTTTTTTCCTCAGTGTATCTCAGACAACTGTACATCAAAATAGTACTTGGGGCACCTGGGTGGCTCAGTCGTTAAGTGACTGCCTTCAGCTCAGGTCACGATCCCAGGATCCTGGGATCAAGCCCCACAACAGTCTCTCCACTCACCAGCGGGTCTGCTTCTCCTTCTCTGTGATCTCTCTCACTTTCATTCTCTCTCAAATAAATAAAATCTTTTAAAAAAAATAGAACAGTACTTTAATGACTGTCCTTAGACACACATACATAGAGTTTTCTAGGACAGATTCTCAGATGTAGAATCACTGGTTTTATGCATTTAAAATTTGCTCAGAATCATCGAGCTCTCCTCAAAACTGCCAGTTGACGTTGTCTCTGATTGAACTCAGTAGCAATAAGGTATCTACAACAAGAGAAGAATGTCTGTTGCATGATGAGGCCAAGATGTATCTGGAAGCTCTGCTTCGTGTGCTACAGAGCAGAGGTGGTCCTCTCGGAGCCACGCCGTGGCCTGTTGTCCGGGCACTGCGCCCACCCCACAGGACCTTTTTAGCCCACACTGGATTTTTAGTTTAAACTGGGTTCTCTTTCAGGAATGTGTGTGTGCGGATATATGTGTTTAATCCCTCATCTGTTTTAATTCTTCTAATTACTTTCTTTTAATTACCTTCCATGTTTTGAAATGATAAGTGAAGCTCAGGAAAAAAGAGAGTAATTAAGGTTAGTACATTTGTGGACATGGAAAACTGGGCAGATTTCTCTTTCCGAGGTTAATAACTCGAGGGTAAGGTCAGCTCCCGAAGAAGGACTGGTTTGGTTTAAAAACCAAACCAAACCACTGAGACAGGTAATGCAGAGACTACAGTTTCCCTTCAGAGACACAAGATTTCTTCCAGCTTCTTGACAGAACAGATCTTGACCTAAATGATAGTTCTTCTCTAACTGCATGACCTCAGCCAAACCATCCAGACCAATAGTGGCGCGTCCAGAACACAGATAAGAGGTCCTTTTCTGGCAACCTCTTATGTCTAACTTCAGCAAAGTCCTGAGTTTCCTAGAAAGAATCGTTAGAAGGAAGCAAATCCTGGGACCTGTAGTCAGAATTTTTAGATCCCTTTTTTCTCAGTCTACCTCTCCATCACTGATTAAATGTCTTGCGGAGCTGGACTTACCGAGGACTCCCTTGTTTGTGACATCTTGTAATTCCCTGCTCATTATACAAACAAGGAGGAGGGACACCGTGCCAGGCTTTAACCTCTTCGGGTCACCCTCCTCAGAAAATGAAGAGCCCAGACCAGTCTGTTAGGACCATGGCAGCACCCTGCCATGACCCTCAGCCACTCACAAAGTCATTTGTTTCAGAAGATCTCCTTCTCCCTAGGAGACTCCCTGCAGGCCAGCTAACCAGCATGGGACCTGAGCTTTACCGTCTATCGCCTCCACTCCCCTTCCTCCTCACCTGGTCACACCTGTTGTCGTCACTCTCGCACCCTCCTGCACCCCATCCGCGGCCACTCCTGATGACCAGTAATGCTTCCCTCTTCGTTCCACAGGGTCTTCTCCTCGGACAGCCCTCTGCTGAGAGCCCATATTCCTAGGCTAACTCTTAGGCGTATTCCAACCAGTTTTTGCTGGTGATAGTGTTTAGTATTTATCTGTAGAACTGGCTGCTTCTGAAAGCTAAAATGTTACATTTTTTAATCTATTAATGCCTCGGAATAGTGCTATCCAACAGAAATACAGTGTGAGCCACATATATAACTTAAAATTGTCTAAGTAACCACATTTAAAAAGGTGTAATTGTAATGCTTAATTCAGTACATACAAAATATTATTTTAACACGTAATCAGTATGAAAAATTAATTTTTTTCATGCCGAGTACTCTGAGTTTGGAGTGTGTTTTGTACTTAGAACACATTCCACTTCAGATTAGCCACATTTCAAGTGCACAGGAGCCATTTGTGGCTTCTGTCTGCCGTCTTGGACGGGAAAGCTCTAAAAATATCTCCCAGTGACTCGGATCTTGCCGCTGGAAGTGGTGGGCTCGAACATTATTGACAAGAAAAAGATCTGATAACCCTCCTTATGATCTTTACACTTCTTACTTCCAGAATCTGGATTTTTATTTTCCTTCATGGTGAAGTTGATTTTCTTTTCCAGGCCTGCATTAAATTAATTTTGATAGCATTTAAGGTGGGCTTCCTCCTCTGAACTATTCTCAGGCATATGGTTTCTGGATTTCCTGGCACATGGAATAGCTTATTTCTCTTTATTTTAATTTGGGTCCCAGAAAGATTATCTCGAATATTGAAATACTTATATTCTTCAAACCAAGATTCATGCACATCTTTATTTAGTCACCTAAAATATTCTGTGAATGTGTCACCCGGTATAATTTTGGGTAGTTGAAAGCTAAGATTTGCGATGGCACTGCCAAAGCTCCACATAGAAAAATGTGTGTATTTGCAGCTAGGGCCACGTCCACTCATCCCGAGGATTTAACTCTGTGTCAGTTCTAAAATAGTAACCAAAGGATCACATCCAGAAGTGAACACCTGGGAAAGTTGTGTGAACTTGAAATTCTAGTAGCTAAGGGACTATTAAAAGGAGAGGGGAGGTTTGTTTTACTTGGGCAGTCATGAAACCTATTTTTACATCTCTGAAAGCCTGCCAGACAGGATTCCATGTGTACTGAGTGGGCCCAGAGAACAGGAACCCCACTGGGTAAAGGTTACAGGAAAGGCAGACCTTGTACATAACATAGAAAAGACCTTGACCTTGGTAACAGGTGTCCAAATGGAAATAAGCTATTCGAGAAGTAAGGCAGTGAATGTTGCAGGGGGCGAGGTGGCTGTGTGCCTGTGAGGTGGTACACAGAATTCGGGCATTGGGTCGATGTCCTGTGTGTCATCCATTCCCAAGAAGCTCTCTTGGTGTCATCTCTCTTTCCTTTCCTTTTCTTAACAGTTAGAACAACAGAGGCAGCAGTTGCTTACTGAACGCCAGAACTTCCACATGGAGCAGCTGAAATATGCCGAACTGCGAGCCCGACAGCAAATGGAACAGCAGCAGCACGGGCAAAACCCTCAGCAGGCACACCAGCACTCAGGAGGGCCTGGCCTGGCGCCGCTTGGAGCAGCGGGGCACCCCGGCATGATGCCTCATCAGCAGCCTCCTCCCTACCCTCTGATGCACCACCAGATGCCGCCACCTCACGCACCCCAGCCAGGTGAGAGGCAGGCCGTGCCCGCGGGTGAGGTCGCAGTCATCCCTGCGGCTCAGCAGCAGAGGAGCTAACCACACCCGTGACAATTTGGAGCTAGGACCGTGCCTAGGATGCCTGTTGTCGTCTAGGTAATTGTAGGCAAGTGAGACCTGCTTGTATAGCCATCACCACACAATGCTGGCTGTGTTCTGTTCCCGGTGTGATGCCCTTCCTCGGGTCAGTCAGCCTCCAGTTGGCCAGTATATCCCAGAGTTCCTTAAAAATTCATTCTTGGGTTGTCTGCGCTCTTTTTCTTCTTCTTTTTTAACTTACAGGCATTTTTAAAGATAGACACACAAAAATAAAAACTCAATGAACTCTTATGACCCAGCTTCCACACCCATCACTTTCCCACCATTTTTCACTTTTTGTTAGAGAATCTACCATGGGCAAAAGGAGAGCGAATAGTGTAAGAGTCTCCCCATATATACCTCTTGCACGGCTTCAGAATTGCCAATATTTTATTTATTCCTCCTCACCCTGGGGCAAGAGGTAGACTTCAAGATATATCTCTAGCCAATGGAAATCTTATTCTTTAACAGAACTACTATTATCACACCCATAATTCCTAGTACCATTAGCTAAATGTCCTCGGATGCTTCATTTGTTTGAATTGGTGTTCAGATAAGGTCCACGCATTGTATTTGCTGATAGGTCTCTTAAATCTGTCTTAATGTGTTAACAGTTCACCTCCCCTTCTTTTTTTTTTTTTAATGCCATTCATCTACCTGTGACTGCCTGAGTGTGCCCGGGAGGTGCATGGTGTCATTTTGCATGTTCTTCTCCCCATCTCCCTGTCCCACACATCTCCTGTAAACCAGAGGCTTGCTCTGGATACCTTACCAGGTGCAGGTTCACTTTTTGGAAGCTGACATTTTTCGTCTCTCTTGGTGACATTAAGGTTGGTCAGTGGTTCTAGTGTTGTTAGGCTGATCCGTCTGCTACAGAGTTCCCCGGCAGACTTTCCCAGAGGTTTTCTGCTTTTGAGAATTGCTTCTAGATGAGCTCTTTCATCAGGCCTTGCAAAATGGTGAGACGTCTCAGTTGATCTTCCCTCCTGCATTTATTTCTATTCGTTCATTTCCTAGCAGCGATTCTTTTATTTAAAAAACAAAAATCAAAGAGACCTTGGTCAATCATGTATTCATCCTGAAAATGAGTTCCTTACAGGAAAGTCTGGATAAAGGTTTCATCCTTTCTCTTTATTGGTTACCTGAACAATGGGTTCCTAACCACTGTCTTCACCAGAGGTGACCAGGAAGGGAGTGTGTATGCTCTCCTGTGTGTGTGTTTTTAGTATTGTGGATTTATGTAGTGTATATTTTATGTGTTTCAGTCCATTATGGACATTATTGTGTTTGATGCTCAGATGGTCCTGTCTGTAGCTCATGGGAGCCCTTTCAAGCTGGCAGCTACCCACGACATTTTAACCACCTTGAAAGTTGAGCTCACAGTCCTTTCAAACTTAACTACCTCCCCTAAACAAAGATTACCCACCAACATCATGAAAACCTAAAACATATCTTTAATTGTAGCTTTTCTTCCGCCATGTTCCTTTCCTTTGTAGAGAGCGATGTATATGGGTGTGTGCTCTGGATTACATTGATCTAATGACACTCATCCTGTAAAAGTTTCATAATTACTCTCTTGTCATGTGCCAGATGTCTAGCAGAGCCCAAGTTTGTGTTTCCTGGGGTGGGATACAAATTCTCTGGCCACAGCTCGTGCAAATGAACTAAGGTAATATTGGGAGACCCTTGCAAGCCAGGGAAGGTCCCAACGTGATGATAATAGCTAGCCTGACTGCTCAAATGACAGATTCTCTAAATCTCATGGAAATAACCAGGGATGTGAGCATGAGAAAGCCATGACTGAAAAAATTGTGATCTTGACAACTTGTATTATCAACATGGATCTTTCAGTTCGCCACCCAAAACATATTTTATGTATTAATTTTTCTGGGCTTTACTCAAAACGGGCTAGGTCGATTTTGATTGGGAAGCATTCATTTCACACATACACAACTGTTAAATTACAGCTGTGGAATTTACAACCGCCATCAGACTTGCCACTTGATCTAAATGATGTTTGTGGATATAATCTTAGCATTCTCCCCTCCTCACAACGTAGGATTCTTTCTTTAGTCTTTCTGTCTGCTTGAACAGATCTTAAATTCTCTGTATGAGATTGAATTTCCTTCAAAATTAAACTTCCAAAAGATACAGATGCTTAACCGAGTGAAGATCACAAAGTGATTTTTCAGAAACAGTGCTTATTTTTAAAATTTATTCCTAAAACTACTGGGGATTTAATGGGGAAGTTCCCTATGGCTACTTGGTGCTTGGTTCTGGCTGGTGTTAAGCATCAGAATCTGTAGTAATTGTTCACAGGAGCGCCAACATCTGCATTTAGCTTATAAAAGATGGGAAGAGAGATGCTTTTGCCTTTTCCCTTAAATTACATCCTGGTGAGGATAGGTTTTTGCAGGCTAGGCCAGTCACCCACCTTGTTCTGCTCACTTGTCATTGTCCTTACTTTACCTCTGAAGAACCAATGTGTGACAGGGACCACATGGCCTTGCTGCCTGATGGACCAGGATTTGCACTGGGCTCCATCCGATTCCAAAGTGATAACTTCACACTGCCCCATGACCCCAGACTAAGAGGGGACGTACAGCAGATTCAAATACAGCTATTCTCTTAGGGAGGCCGTGCCAAAGAAATGAGAGTTCATAGAAATAGCCTTTAGAGGAGCACCAAGTGGGGACGCCTGGGTGGCTCAGTTGGTTAAGCGGCTGCCTTCGGCTCAGGTCATGATCCCAGCGTCCTGGGATCGAGTCCCACATTGGGCTCCTTGCTCGGCTGGGAACCTGCTTCTCCCTCTGCCTCTGCCTGCCTCTTGGCCTACTTGTGATCTCTCTCTCTCTCTCTGACAAATAAATAAATAAAATCTTAAAAAAAAAAAAAAAAAAAAAAGAGGGGCACCAAGTGGCTCAGTGGGTTAAGCCTCTGCCTTCGGCCCAGGTCATCATCTCAGGGTCCTGGGATCAAGCCCCACATTGGGCTCTCTGCTCAGTGGGGAGCCTGCTTCCCCCTCTCTTAAGCCTCTGTCTTCGGCTCAGGTCATAGTCTTAGGGTCCTGGGATCGAGCCCTGCATCGGGTTCTCTGCTCAGCAGGGAGCCTGCTCCCCCCCCCCCCCGCCCGCGCTCTCTCTGCCTACTTGTGATCTCTCTCTCTGTGTCAAATAAATAAATAAACAAATCTTTTAAAAAAAAAGGATCGTTGCATGTATGATGAGACTAAAATCGGTGATGAGATCATCTTTTTTCTTAGTTTTTTATTGAAATATAATGTATGTATGAAAAAAGACACAAATCGTGAGTATTCAATGAGTTTTAACAAAGAGAAGATACCTGTGCAGCCATTACCCAGAATCCTCCGCTATTTTCCTTTCTACCTCCTTTTCTCCTGGGGGCGACAGCTCTCCAGGTTCCTAACAGCCGTGAATAGTTGGGATGGTTTTGAATGTGATCTGGAGGGACTTACAACGTGACTTTTTTTTCTGTCCAGTTTCTTTCACTCAACACTTGGTACCCACCCATGTTGGTGTCAGTCGTCGCAAGCTTATTTCTCCTGTTTGCTGTATGTGGTCCATTGTGGGGCTCTACCTCATTGTATTGGTCTGTTCTCCTATTTATGGACATTGATTAGTTTCCAGAGTTTGGTTATTACGCATAGTAACTGCTACTGTGAACTTGGGTGTGCACATGTCTTTGATAGACATAGGTAGACATTTTTTAATGTATTTTTAAATTTAAATTCAATTAACTAACACATAATGTATTACTAGTTTCAGAGGTAGCATTCAGTGATGGAGCAGTCTTTTTTATTAACATCCATGCTGATTACTTCATGTGCCCTCCTTAATGTCCTTCAACGAGTTATCCCATCCCCCCACCCACCTCCCCTTCAACAACTGTTTGTTCCCTAGAGTTAAGAGTCTCTTACAATTTGTCTCCCTCTCTGATTTTGTCTTGTTTTGGTTTTTCCTCTCTTCTCCTATGATCCTCTTTGTTTCTTAAATTCCATATGTGAGTGAGATCATATAATTGTCCTTCTCTGATTGAAAATTATTGCACTTAGCATAATACCTTCTAGTTCCATCTATGTCATTGCAAATGGCAAGATTTCTCTTTTTTTGGATGGCTGAGTAGTATTGCATTGTATATATATATACCACATCTTCTTTATCCATTCATCTGTCGATGGACGTCTGGGCTCTTCGCATAGTTGGACTGTTGTTAGCATTGCTGCTATAAACATTGGGGTGTAGGTACCCCTTCAGATCACATTTGTATCTTTGGGGTAAATCCCTAGTAGTGCAGTTGCTGGGTCGTAGGGTAGCCTGTTTTCAACTTTTTGAGGAACCTCCATGCTGTTTTCCAGAGTGGCTGTACCAGCTTGCATTCCCACCAATAGCAGAATAAGTATACGCTTCTGTTGTGTGTGCCCCAAAGTTCCTAGAATGGGTCATAGGCTGTGCATATGTTCACATTAGTAGATGCTGCCGAGATTGTTCCAGAATGGTCACATGGATTTATATGCTGGCTGTATGTGAGAGTTCTAGTAGCTCAAGGTAATCATTTTTCTTAATTGCCCCTTTTGTGAGGGTGCTTTGGAGTTCAAATGTAAAGTTAAATCAAGTGTATTAGTAAAGTTAAGAACAACAGAAAATTGAATCCACTGGTTAAAAGTTGCTTTAGTATCACCACTTCTGAAAAAGCTGGTTGTTAACAGATGAGCCTAGGGCGCCATATTTTGTTATCAGCTAAAGGGGCCTTTTTAAAGCTGGGCCAGTGAGGAAGTGGGTGGTGTTTTGGGTGAAGTTCATCCTCAGTCCCTTGTTTAATACAGGTGTCAGTTAAGAATTTTGAGTTTGGTCCTTCCAACTGTTGTTTCCTAAG